TGGGGCTGGGGATGAGTGGTTGGGGGTGCAGGAGGGTCTCTGGGGCTGGGGACCCAGGGGGATCAGAGGGTAGGAGGGGGGATCAGGGCTAGGGCATGGGGTTGGGGTGCAGGAGGGGGGTCAGGAACAAGGCTCCGGGTGGCGCTTACCTCAAGCAGGTCCTGGAAGCAGCGGCATGTCCTCCCTCCGGCTCCTACGCAGAGGTGCAGCCAGGCGACTCTGCGTGCTGCCCTGTCTGCAGATGCAATCCTGGCCAATGGGAGCTGTGGGGGCAGCGCTTGGGGCAGTGTGCAAAGCCCCTATGCATAGGAGCCGGAGGGAGGACAGGTCTTTGCTTCCAGGAGCCGCGCAAGCCTTAGTTACCGCTCCCCGGTGGGAGCTCGAGGGCCGGATTAAAATGTCTGAAGGGCCGGATGTGGCCCCCAGGCCGTAGTTTGCCCACCCCTGATATACACTGACTGGAACATATTGCTAATGGCCATATGACAAGGCAATTCCAGCAGCTCATTAGCGAGAGAGACTGCCACACTAAGGCAAGCTTTTGTTTGAGGAAGACAGTAATGTCCTTGTTGCCCTGATCACAGATAAGGGTGGGTTAACAGCTCAGTGCCAGGTGTCAGATTCTCATTAGCAGTTGTTCATTTAGGCGCAGTGTGAAGAAAATAAAGATCAAGTGCAGAAAGATTTTTAAGTCATTAGTGGCAGCATGGAGAGCACCCCCGCCTCATTCACTGCCAGAGTTCTACGGCATGTAGCAAGTGATGCAGGGGACCAATGGAAGAGGAAGAATGGTGCTGTGGTGAAGGCTCTGAACTGAGACCCAGAATGTGACATGGCCTAGTTACTTAGGTGCTTGAAAATCCCATACCCTAATCTGGCTGTGCTCTAGTTCCTCACCTTTAAAATGGGGAATAATGGTAATTCATTGCCTCCACAGGGGTTTAGTGGGGATCACGCTGCATGGGACTCAGAGGTTGGGTGAGCCATATGGGATCTTGACACTGCGGGAATTTGAGGGTGCTGGGCAAGAGATAATCCTACAGATAGGAGAATTTCCTTATCTGCTATGCAATGGAACTTTTTAGTAATTAGATTATTTGGAACCTTTCCCCCCTTACTCTTCTGCCTCCACAACAGCGAGAAGCTAGCAGCACAGAATTGCACTGCCACTCTCTCCTAGTGGGGGGAGGGGGAGGTAATATGGGATTGAAACAGGAATGGGAGCACTCCCTCTACTTTTAATAGCATCAGCCAAAGAGGAAGGGGGCACTCTCTATATTTTCAGCAGAGACAGGGAAGCTGTCCTTCCTCTCCCTTATTTTAACCTCTGCTCCTGAGTTGGAAGTTCAGCTGAGGCAGAGAAGTAAAGGGAAGGACCGGAGCAGGATAGGATATCCTGGGGGAACTACTCTTTCTTTCATCCAAAAGCATTTAGGAGATCGTCATA